AAAAATCCCTGCACGATTTTCTGTGACACACACTATACATATAATGTGGATTTAAGTGAGAAAATTTTGAAGCGATTTCTCGGGACTGCAGCCGTATTAAGTCGACAAGCCGGCTAAATACACTTGCGTTGAAACGTTCAATGATCTTTTGATAGAGAAAGTTTTTCTTCCCAAAAAAGCCGCCAAAATGCTGACATCTTGGAAAAGAATTTTGCCCACTCTACTATGCAAGCGAACGAATTTTGTTTACCAAATCAATATAGAAACACTCCGTTTATAGGGAGGCGCTCAATAACTTTCCCGGCCAGTTAAATAGCGCGGACTAGTTGATCAATGGACCCGTCGGTGAAAAGAAAGCGCTTGGATTTTGACGATTTCTATTGCCTGTTCTGTGTATATGGCATTGGCCTTGGCTTATAGGTTTTAGTATTTAGCACTAAAATTTGGAATTAATTTTGAAAAAAAAAACAGCAGAAAAGGAGAGTAGTAATATTAGATTTATTGACATGCACCCAAAAATGTCCGCCAAGAGGAAATACAAGTATAATGCAAAACAGTAGGTTCTAAAAATGAAAATATGCTATGAAATTTGAAATAAATTCTAGGATCGAAATAGATTTTTTATCTACAGTGTAACTTCGATATAACGAACATTAATACAACGAAAAATTCAATACAAAAAAAATGTTTACTGAATCCCCCGAAACAATTTTTTGTTGCCAAATGGTCCATACAAAAATGCTCCATGGATATAACAAAGAAATTTGCAGCATGAAAACCTTCTAAATATATTGACGGTTAACGTTCTATTAGTCGAAGTGTCGACTCAAAAGCCTCTAAATGGCAAATTCTGAATGTGTTGACGGTTAGAGTCTTTAGAAAAAGTTATACTTATAATGAATTTTTTCTAAATTTTGCATTTTTCGTATTGAGATTTCGATATTCTACATGTAACTTAACGAACACGCGGATGCGTGCTCGAAAAAATTAAAGTTGGGAGCCGCCCCGCGGCCCCAGGTTTCCCTAAGGATAGAAATGAAAAGCAAGATTAGCAGTACAAGTAAATATTTACCATTGAGCTCCCAAATAATAATGAATACAAAATATTACCTAAAGCTATCGCTAAGTATCTAAATGGCCCGAATTAATTGATTAGTTGCTGACGCTGTGCTTCCCACGATTTGCATTTTGGTTGCATAAAACCGATTGGTATCGCTTACGTTGCAGGTCAATCGATGAATCGATTTTTGAAGATGATCTTTGGTGTGCGTCGTTGGCTGATCCTGATCGGTTGTTTGGTTTAGCCTAGGAAAGTTGATTGTAGTCGTAAGTTTTTTCCAGCTGATGTAGCACACGGCTGCCAGGATTGTCAAGGCAATAGCGTCACAAATTAAGGAGAAGTGAAAATTATTGCCAAGTTGCTTTAGATGGTGAATATTTTCTATGCTGAGCCCGTGGATGTACTCCAGATTTAAATTCAGCCCATCACTTGTAACGTTAACCAAAGCGGGTGGCAAAGCCTGTACTGTGCGTAATGATTTGCTGGTGAACGTTTGATTTCCCACCATGACCGTTTCATTATTTAGTAAAATAACGTATGTTCCGTTGAGGACCGCGGAGTAGTTCCTCCCCTTCAATGGTCCTTGAAAGTTTGTAGTAAATATTGTTGCATCGGCGATCATTTCAACAATTACGTTGTTGTCTGGTTCAAAGTGGCATTTAGCATCGCCGCCCTTCACTAATCTAGCCAGGCGTCCGTCTTCAGGAAGTTTCGTTAAAGATTTGGGTGAGCAGATTGTTGTATTGCTAATCGAAGGACAATCCTCGTTCAGTCCGAACGTTTCTTCTTCGTTTACCAGCATCTTCTTGTAATTAAGTTCAACGTGTTGTCCCCTGTCGGTAGCCATCTGGTTTGACTTTTGGTATTGATAGTACGTATAAAAGGATACTACCGTTTGAATACACGGAAGCCGATCCGTATTCTATAGCTTCGATGGTATTTTGATATGGCAGCGAATCTTCTTCTATTAAAAGTCTTTGTACCTCGTCTCGATCAAGTAAGTTTGTGTTTATGATACCAGATTTTGCCATTTGGCTCGCCTGCACGATCTCTGATACCTGTTCCTTCAGGATTAGAACTTTGC